CCCCCCCCCCCCTCTGAACAAAGACAGCAGCAAGCACGACGGTGACTCCTGCGAACCCCCCTCCCCCCCTGAACAAAGACAGCAGCAAGCACGACGATGGCTGCAGCCTGTCGATTACCTGCGCCGGCTGTCGAGAACAGGTTGGAAGACATCAGACCAGGACGGTGGCCTCTACAGCTTGGAGGAAGGTCGAGGTCGTTGCCGTGATCGTGCTTTCAACAACTCACCAATATCTTTGGAGATAAGCATGCCTGCATTCCAAGTCGCGACGTAATCCAGCCCATCTGCCACAGAGTGGTCTCTAGAATGCAACAGAATTGCTTTGGTGCCCTCCACTGCAACGGATGATTTGCTGGCAATGTCCTCAGCCATCTCCTCAACTGCTGTCATCAGCGCATCATGCGTTGCAAACGACCTATTCACCAATCCCAGAGCAGCTGCCTCTTTCCCGTCAAACGCACGTCCTGTTAGCGATAACTCCATCGCTCTCCCATGGCCAACAAGGTGCGGTAATCTCTGCAGAGTTCCCACATCTGCAGTGATTGCCAGGTCCACTTCCTTCACCGCAAATTGTGCGTCGTCTGTGCAATACCTCAAATCACATGCGGTCACCATATCTATTCCTCCTCCAATACACGCGCCATGAATGGCTGCAATCACCGGTTTTCTACACCGTTCAAAAGAAGTGAAAGCTAGCTGGAAGTCTTTGATAGCACGTCTCAAGGCGTCCCGCTTGCGGGCTTCGCAGTCGCGGGGAAGCTTGGCCATCAGCTCTGCGAGTACCTCCACCTCCAAGCCAGAGCAGAAATGTTTGCCGGCCCCCTTTAAAATCACCACGTGTGCAGCTGGACACGTGTCGAGCCAGGACATTGCTTGAGGGAGCTCCCTCCACGTGGCAGAGTTTAACGCATTGGCCTTAGAGGGACGATTAAGAACCAGATCGGCGACACCAGATGAGCCCACAGTGACCTTCCAAGTCTCAAATTGGGGGGGGGTGGCATTCGAGGAGGAGGAGGAGGAGGTGCCACGTGGCACCACCTCCATGTCCGAACGATCGCCGCCTGCCATTGCGTGTGTGTACGACAGTCGCGTGGCTCAATACCGAGGAAAAGACAAAACCCACAAGACGACAACTTACATCCAGTTAATCATTAGATTAGATATCCGGTCACACACATGATGACGCTTTCTCGCTCCTTTTTTTTCCGTTCTTGCAGCACAATCGTTGGTTGCGAAAACAGAAAGGAAAGGGATAGGAAATCTACAGAAACCTCGTCACATTAGATCAAATGCACCCAGCAATTAATACCTCATCAACTCGATGCAATTCATCCAATAACTATCACATCTGAACCTCTCTCTCTCTCTCTCTCTCTCTCTCTCTCTCTCTCTCTCTCTCTCTCTCTCTCTCTCTCTCTCTCTCTCTCTCTCTCTGTTTGTGTCCGTGTGTGTGCCGCGCGCGCGCGCGCGCACACACACACATATTTCTTTCGCCTTGCTCATCAACCGCCTGGAGGACCCTATTGAGTACCACAGTTCGCCTTTTGCGTTTCCTGGGCACTTTTTGTCGTTTTCCCCACCTGTTATGGGAAAGGCACATGACTAGCGCGATTAAGTTTGGAAATGCCAAACTAGCCCCGTTAGAACGCACCTGAACGTGCAGATGCCCAGGTGCATCATCACGGCGCTTTTAGTGTGTTGTCCATCCAAAGACTATCCTCTTCCTTGTCCTCAACTTCCCCCCCCCTCCCCCCCCCTCCCTCGCTTTACCCCCTCCCCTCAAGTTTAGCATCTCGAGTTCTGAGTTCTCCCTTCTCCCTTTGCTCTTTGCAATTTTTCCATTTCTAATTCTGTGTTTGGCATTTTGCATTTCCATTTCTGGGTGCGCTTTTTCTTTTCTTTTTTTTCTTTTTTTTTTTCTTTTTTTCTTTTTTTTGTGAATTCCATCGAGTCATGCACTTGCCCACTCGTCGGTACGATGCGTGTAATCTTTCTTTCCCTCTTATCCTTGTCTGCAATCTTTCTTTTTTACCCTTCTCCTTCAATCAATCAATCAAGCAAGCAAGCAAGCAAGCAAGCAATCAACTGCTTTGATTAATTACGATGCGTGTAATCTTTCTTTTTTACCCTTTTGCTTGCATGCACTCTTTTCTTTTTTATCCTTATCCTTGCATGCAATCTTTTTCTTTTTTTTCTTTTTTTCTTTTTTTTTTCGATTTCTTGTTTTGAAAGGGGGACGATATTTGAGGTATCATAATTGACCTGGCCGGCCCCCGGTAATTCAGAATTACTGTGATCTTTTTATCTGGTTGCGTTGCGGATTCGAACCCGGGTCTATGTGGCAAGAGTCCATGGGTGTATGACTTTATTCACAAATTAGTCAATTACACAAATTGAAAAAGAAAAAAGAAAAAAAAAAGAGAAAAGACACGTGTTTGCATGCGAAAAGGAAAAGGGACAAACGGGAACGATAACGACAAAGAAAAGAAACTACCGTCTTCACCCGAATAGAACGCCCGCCGTCATTGTAGCTGTACTTTTGGGGTGCAATTTTCAGTCTATATAACATAACATACTAATACTAATAGCAGTAATGACCCGGACGCCCTTTTTTGAAGGGGGGGGCTTTCTCGGCCTTTTGGCTAAGATAAAGTAAAAAAAAAATGACAGAACTGTTTTTTTTTTTGGACCATTTAATCGATTTATGCGTGTCATCCTTGCTCAGGCAGGGGCCATGCTAATCTTCTTGTCTCTGTATCGTTCGTTCCAATTTTAACGGATGTCCCGAAGGACATCAGTTTAATATCTGATCCGTGGTCCATGGGGCCGCATTTAAAAAAATAAAAATAAATAAAAAAACGACGTTCATTTTTGGGCGGGCGAAAAAAGAGAGTAGAGAGGTGAGAGAAAG